GGGTTTTGACTTCAGACACCAGAATGTATGCTCTTAATCTGATGTCTTTATMATGCCCCTTTTAAAATTAAAATGTAAATAACCAAATATTAAAAAAGCTCACTATTTATTCTCTAAGATCCCTGCACTAGCATCAATTCTTTCTCTTCAATCTGAGTATTTTTCCTAAAAGGCTTTTGGTATTGGGCCACTTGTCAAACGACAGCCCCCTGAAGAAATGATGGACTAAGAGCATTAGGCAGCGTCCCAGCAGTAATAATACAGGGCACAGCTTTGTCTTTTACCATATGGCTACCACAAAAGACATAAAAGCAAGCACACACATGAACACACTTGTTTTCCCCGTCCTTGTCTCATGCACACACACACAAAACACACACACACACACACACACACACACACACCACAAACACTTGCACAGCATTAGCCCCATTGGACCCAATCCGTGCCAGCCATTGTTTTAATCAGTCAATTCCGATATTTCTATTTCCTCCTCATTAATCTCTGAGTCCTCTGGGCTCTCCTAGAGTGAATTACACACTATAGCCCCCATGCCAATTCAAGTAAGTGAATTTCCCCCAACAGGGAAATATAACTGTCAACACCGAGCAGCTCCCTCCAAGCAGTGTTCCTCTTTCCTCATGGTGTCCTGTGATGCTTCCACCGACTGGCTGCAGAAAATACAACTCATTAAAGGGGGGCTTATAATGTGAAATCAACTTCTTTGAGCATTAAATTTTGTTTTAAAGTCATTCCCTCACCAAACACCTACGCAGAGTGTTGCTTTGACCAATGCACATACATGTCAACGTGGGAGGGAGCAGGGAAAGGAGGACAGGGAGAGGTGGAGAACTTATTTCCAGTGACAGCGCGGGTTGGGAGATGGACATTTGTAAGAACCTGCTCCATGAGACTAATACCAGCTTAATCTCATAAAAGTCATGTCCCACAAGATCTTGCAGAAGGAAATCAGGAARTCATGAAATACCCCTCTGGTCATGAATGTGAAAAGAACTTGTG